GCCTACAAAACGCTTCAAATAATAAATTTGCTTATTTGAAACTTTGAGACGATTAATAGGCGGCGTACACGGTGCGTCTGACTTGCGAGTCATTTGTGTACGTGTTGACTCGCCTTCGACTACACACAGTTGAATCATTCATTCAGAGTCATGACGGGAGTCATGTTGGTGTAACTAATACATATTTATTTTCACAAACACATCCAAACCGACTCACGAGTCAGACGCACTCTGCCGCCTATAAAGCAAGTGAAGCAAAGCTGCCATTTAGCCAGCCTTCATACGTTTTAGTACATATATTTCAAATAATATTTGATAGTTAGCAAAGCGAAGTAAGCAAAGCCATCCTGCATTTGGCCAATACCTTAATTTTGAAAAAATTCTATGTCGAGGACTAATATACTCCCGACCACATCCTCGAATTTCGTCTTTCTAACTTTATTATCTTAAAAAATTCAAATTACTTGAAAGGGCAATTTCAAAACCTAGTCGTCCTTGTGGACGAAAAACTGATAATTTTTTTTAATGCTACAGAATTTTCGCTTTATTTTGGTATGGGTACCAATTGTTCGGTAGCATACATATCTTTAAAACATCACAAAGTCCTTAAAAAATCCTGACGTCAGAGAAAAAAGCAAAATCGCAGTTTCACTATACTTCCCACAATTTCGTAAGTATATTGATTGTATCGTGTATTTAAAATTTTTTTGTTTTTGCCGCACGGTGATAGTGTATCTTTTTACCGAGTTCATATGTTGCAACATTTTTTGTTCAGAATTTGCATCGGAATCACTCATGATATTAAATAAGTTCGTTAATATGTGCATGATTTGGAATGCTTGATGTTTTGAAATTCAATATACAATACAAAACGGGTAAATTAGCGGAATGGCGTCTTAAATTCTGCAAAAATGACAAATCTTTGATTATAATAAATGTTAAGTATGTATGTATGTATATTTAAAAGTACATTAGGGAAATTTGCTCTTATGTGTTTACGTCCCAATTTGCCACAGAGCGGAGACGAGTTCGAATCGAAGTCGTTACAACGACGCGTCGGTCTGGTGAACTCGACACGACGTCAAATAGAATTCAGTTGTTCCATACAAAATGTATACTCTATTACACTAAAATTTAATGAGCTATAAAACTGCTTTATATATATATGTTTTTAATTCAGACTGAAATGTTTTGAAATTGTTCACCAGAACGAGTCGGAAACGACGTCGCAAAATAAAAAAAAGTTACGCAGAAAAATTTGCCCTTATCCTGAATGTAGAAAAGCAATGCCTTGAAACTGAGTCCGTGTCGTATAGAAAAAAGAATTGAGGAAATCATCCGGACGGTAAGGCCCTCTACATTCTAGAGAAGGCCCTCTGCAATTGCTGTTTTCTCCCTTTTTTTTATTGGGTAGGTTTGCCATTTCCTGCCCTTGGATGTTGATCGGACCAGAAATTGAACATGGACCCCAATATGACGAAACCGATAGTTTCAAATTTCAAATGGTTCCTAATTTGTTAAAAATGTTCTTTGAGTTTTAATAAAACTAGTCTTTTTCCGAAGTTTTATTCTTGAGTTCGTCGTTTAAACCACAAGATTTAGAAAATTCAACAATGTTCAAAATATACATACATATGTGATCAGGTAGCATGAATTTGATGGATGAAATATCATAATTTAATTAAAAGTCAAATGGTTAACAACAACAACAAATGCCATTAAATGGAACTCCCTTCTTTTTTGTATCATTGTATACAAATGTATATTTTATGTATATTTTCATTTTCATTTTATTTCATTTAAAGAAATTTTAATTTATAACTTCCAAATAACGACAAAAAGAGAAAAAATACAATAATTACTATCTTGCGACACCATTATTGGGTAAAGATAAATAAATGAATGTTTCTATGGTAATCATTTTTAATGGGCTGGATTTGGAATGCATGAAATGCATGTTGCTGTTAGATGTACATATCGCCTTAGGGCTGTACGAAAGCCTTAAAAAAACAAATACAAAAAAAAGCTACCTCAAAGTTTTTAGTTATGTAAGTTTTCCGTGTTGATAAAGAATAAATAATAACTTATAAATTACAACAAGCAAATCTTAAAAAGCTTGTGTGCATCAAGCCTACAAGTCAAAAGGCGGATTTCGTTTTAATTTATCAAAAGTATATTTACCGCAGAAACATTTGCATATTTTTTTAGGTTTTATAACAACGTACATATACATATATGTATATGGATACGTTTGTAGCCATGCAGTCAAAATGTATACATATGTAGATGCTTTGCGGATGCAAATTTTCAGAGATTACCTATTTTTCAAGAGTCGCAAAAAATTTACGTGGCTATAAAATATGTTGTTTGAATTCCATTTAAGAACATCAAGATGACTTAAATTTAATCGACGGATTTTTAAGTTTTTCTTGTTTGCCCAATCTTTGTTGCATTTACATATTTATAACTATGAATTTTTTAACAATTTAACACAACCTATCCTTAAGCATATTTATTTCAATCGATGGTATACGCAAGCTTGCACTGCAGGATAGCAGTTACCAAAGTAGCACTTCGGCAAAACGCTTTTTTGAGTCAAACCAGCCTCACTTAAGCTCATTAGATTGAGCTTGATTAACACCTACGAATTTTTCTTGCATCACTCTTCTTAATAAATTGCAAACAAGCGTATGCTTTAATTAGCCTAACATGATTTTTTATGATAATTTTTTATCTACAAAATTAGATATTTTGCATAGAATTTTTGCATTGGCCATGACTGTTATATTAATTTATTAATTGGTAATAGGAGGTATTCCTTCTTACAAAAATTAGTATCGGTATGAATCAAAATATTATTAAAATTGATTTAACTTTTCGATTATAATACCTCCAATAGCTCTGTAATGGCAGAGGTACTGGAAATATGAATAAATACTAGAAATTCTAGAAAAAAGTTAAATTAATTTCGGTCCATCATTTTTCAAGGTAGGTGTTATTTTTATTGTCTAAACAATATCCATATTGTGAATCATTTTCACTACAGTCGTTGCCTCATTTTACACACATCCATGTGACTCTAAAGCAAACAAAAAAAAAAAATACAATACAATATACATATTTCAGTAGGGAATAAAATAAAAGTTCTACTTGCGACCCGATCTTTATAGATTTAAATGTAACTTTGTTTTTATTATTACCTTCTCCGTTTGTGTTTGTAGATTTGCTTTCAATTGTTGTTCGCGGCTTCATGAACATTTAGTTTCATAGCTAATTGTTTCCTCCAGCTATGTATTAACCTGTCTTGGTAAATTTATGCTCCATGGGTTAAGAGTTTAATGATTTAATATAAATATTAAAAATATGTAAAAAAAAATCCAATCGAATCGTAAAATTGTAGATCAAAATAAATTTAAAGTGGTTTTCAAATTCTATTTACTTATGTATTTCGCTTTCGAGTCTTTTTGTACATATTTATCTTTGTACCTTTTTTGCTTCTTATGGGTGCGTTCTGGGAACGGGAAGCCAACATTCATAGGTCATTTTACTGTGGTTTGATTTGTGTAACTAACACCCAGTTTGTATTACAAGTCTATTACAATTTTAATATCAATGTGCGTGCAATTAGGGCTAGAAAAGTTCAAACATGATGAAGTTAAACATACATACGTATAACACATTACATTACATACATACATATGTAGTTCGCTCATACATTCTTCATAAAAACAAAGCGCACTTTTACAAACATGAAGCAAAAAAACCATCCACGAATAAAAATAAGGAATTTATATCAAAGATATTTTGGCCATGGATTTTTTATTTACATATTCTTTTCTATTTCTTCTTCTATGTACTTTTATTTTTAAAAAAAACATAGACATCCTTATCCTTACCTGGTTCACCGTTTAACATACGCAGGGGATCACGTAGTTCACATAAGGTAAGCGCTATTAACCAACAGAGGGCAACAGCCCCATTAATAATTCACCATGGCAGACATTGGGATTACTACAACAAATGCACTGCACTTCTTCATCCCAGCAAAACATTTTTGATGCATAGATCATTCATATCTATGCCTTATATGATTACATACAAACGCATATACATATATACATACGTACATAGTGTCATCCATGGTACACATTACCAATGTATGTAGCTTTGGCGCATCCTCAGTATTGGTGTTATTAAATACCAAGTAAAAATGTATTTCTATACCATCAATTCAAGTAATTACCACCACAAAATAACAACGAACAGGCATATGCATTTTGTTTATCATGTTATACCAGTTAAACTCATATGTGTTTATCTCAAAAACATACATACATACTTATATATTGTTTACATATGTATGTAAATCTTTGTGTCGTTTTCATGTTTTATATAGATACATATATAGGGTATTCACAACGGTGTCGTAAGTGTCATATTGTTGTATGTCGTAAAGTTTAAAAGCTTAAATAAATTTTGAGAGGACTGAAACCACAACCAACTTTTTTGTAGCACTGTTAAAATTCATAATATGACTTTTGAGGGCCCTTGTAAACCCTCTTCATATATTTTTAGCCGATTAAAGTTTACGACAAACAACAATAAGACACTTACGATACCGTTGTGAATACCTCAATAGTTTTAAAGCCATCCATCTTTCATGCTATGTATTTTTACACAGAATTAGTAGGCTTAATATAGTTTTTACTATTGTGAACAATTTTTTCTTGTACTTTATATTTTAAGCTTAATCAAGATTAATTTTATTTATTTTAAAAATTATTTCCTGAATTTTTGAAACACATACTTGTAGTATAATTTGCGTATATCATTTTCCATTCACCTCTTTTAATAGTTATTTTGTACAATTTTGATATCAAAAGTCTAAATCGCTAGCTTGAAGTGAAAATTTGCTAAGTACATTTTTTTTAATTATACAGGAGAAAATTAAAACATTACAAACTCATTTTCTTCGGTCACTTATTTTGCAAAAATTTTAATAAAAAAAATCGCATATTCAAACCTGAAAAAAAAACTCTTTGTATTCTTTGGGAATTATCATATTTTTTTGTGATTATTTTGGATTTAGAAAATTTGCGTATCACCGAATAGAAACGGTTTAATGCATTTTTATTCTTTTTTACCAAAACATACCAATTAAAAAAAAAGAATTAGCAACGTTTCACTTTAAGCTAGCGAAATACCCTGAGTATATGCATATGTATGTACGACACACATATACATATGTAACTATTAAGCTTAATTCAAAGATATGTATTTTCTGCTAACTCAATATCAATACTCTCATCTTTTATTGTGTAGTACACAATTCGAAATGGACGTGGTCGTTTCGGTATTCCAGGTAGCGATCGCAAACCGCTCGTATTGTCAACATATCAGGATGCACAGCAGCATTTGCCATATGCTGATGACTCAAACGCAGTTACGCCGATGTCCGAAGAAAATGGTGCTATAATCGTGCCGGTGTACTATGGCAATTTAGGTTTGTGCTATTTGACATAATTCTGTGATAACAAGCAATAATAGCCTAAGTAAAAAGTTACCATAACTCTAAATAAACAGAAATATAAAAATAGGAAGATTATATCTGTTTAGTTCATTCTGAGAAAAAATATGTTTGTTTTTTTTTTTTTATGTAGAGTAAAATAAAAATCCATCTAATATTTCACTTTGTTCCTTATAGCAAAACTTTATTCAGACAAGTTAAATGTTGATTAAATTTACTGAGGTTTATTGCTACCTTAATCCTTCAAAATCCAGTCTATTACTTTTATATTAAGATTTGTATCCAAAAACACATATCGTCGTTTAAAGTGCAAAACCGCGTATCAACAAAACGCAAAACCGCGTATCAGCAAAATGCAAAACCGCGTATGTGAAGTTGTAGAAACTATTTTCTAGAGCGTAAAAACACTTTCAAAATGGTTCTCTTTTTTTATAAAGCAATTGCATTTCTGGCTAGTATAGATATTTCAGGACGAATGGATAAGGATTGAGCCAAGAGCTTGTGTGAGCAAATCCAATGTTTGGCAGCAAATGTGAGTTACGCGGTTTTGCAGAATGACGATACGCGGTTTTTTACTTTAAACGACGATATGTACATCTACGAATATATAATTGTTTCCACTTAAATCGACTTGTGCAACTCCCGCTTGTTACCACAGTATTTTTATTGGAATATCTGCCAAAGTTATCGGCATAATTGAATTTATTTATACATAATTAAGGCTCTAGGCATTCATCATATACCTCGCATCAATCAAGAATTTCCTATACGTCGCATGGCGATCTATTAGGGGGTATGGTTGCAATGGGCGTTAGCACGATGACCAAGGAGAGTAAATTGCGAAGTCGTAACACGCGCAACCAGTCGGTGGGTGCATCGAATGGCGCCAGCTATGGTGATACAAATCACAAGGATCAACACCGAGACTACGTAAATATTTCCTATTAAACTTGGCTAAATGCAGACCATTAAGAAAGTCTTAATCAATAAGTATAATTATTGATATTCCCTCTCTTTTTCTAAATCAGGAATTGGGCCTTGAATGTACAGATGAAGCTGGAAAGATAAAACAAAACGACAATCCTTTTATCGAGCCCGTCCAAACACAAACCGTGGTCGACATGAAAGGTTAATATACCAGATTTCGATTAAAATTTCCGTACGAGTTGCATTTTGTTAAAATATAAAACAAAAATTTCAGATGTTATGGTTTTGAATGACATAATAGAGCAAGCCGCTGGTCGGCATAGTCGTGCTAGTGATCGTGGTGGTAAGAAAATTATTGCACATTATTTGTATCCTTGTCCAACTATCTAACTTTACAATTAGGGCCGTTGATTATTTCATTGTCTATTGCCTTTAATTTACATACATACTCATACTTACGTTTAAATATCATTTGTCTGTAAATAAAATTCATATTCTCTATAATTAAAGCAAATTAATATGCCTCTCTCTTAAAATGTATGTATGTATGTATATACATGTACCATTGTAAATAATATTCAGGTGATATTTCAATGTCTTAACTGTAATTACCTACAAGCCTTCATAGTTTTATTTAACAGAGATTTTTCAAAACTTTTTTTTTTAACATATTTAAAGCGAATATTATAAATGCTTTCAGCTACTGTATTAAATAATTTACACATACAGCTTATTCTAAAGTATATATATTTAATATACATATGGATGTGTTCTCTATTAATGTTTACATAATTTATACTAAATATACATACATATGTACCTGCATTGAATACGCATGTATGTATTTATGTATTCGTATGCCTACATATATACATATATGCAAATATTATCAGCTCATTAAATTTGCATTTTAAAACCCTTGGAATGATAACGTACTTTCAACAAATGGCTTGTCTTTATGTTCAAAATCCTAACATCATCCAGTTGCTGAGTAAAGCACCGCCCACATATGGCACTCATAAATATGAAAAATAAATAGGGGTATTCTCTGAGTCTTGCAAAGCCCTTGCATGGTGCACAGATTGCACGGATTGCACGGTAAAAACCGGTTTTCGTATGGGACAGCTTTGCAAACCGTGCAATCCGTGCACCGTGCAAGGGCTTTGCAAGACTCAGAGAATACCCCTAATGTTTTAATGATTTTTGCACTTATTTTGATGATCTAAATTTTTGTCAGGAGCATGCCATTTTAAATCTCATTTCTGAATATTGAGGTTGTCATACATATACAGACACCTGGTAACAACATTAGACTAATCTGTATTAAAAGACCTATAAAAAGCTAATCATATAATGGTTGACGTAGCCGAATGTTTGCACTCGGAAGGACCCAAGCTCGATCTATGATCAACAACACCCAAAAATTATAGCAACAGTTTTTTCTAACACCGGTCGCACCTCGGCAGTGTACTTCTGTTGACAACTGTCGTTGCTTGAGCTTATCTGCTCTCTTGCCACAGAGTGCCAGAGTGCCAGACCACTTGCTCAATTTGGTGAATACCACTAATATATTTATGTATATACATACATATGCATGTATTTGCCATTCAGAGGTGGTCTGAAATAAGCCGCTTACTGCAAAATACAAGAGAAGAAGCTCAACCAAACATGACGATTTTTTTCGCATTTGCTTCCTTATAACGAATAAATACAACTTATTTTTGTATGGAAGTAACCCGCAACACCTTAGGGAAAAAAGTTCTGTAAAGTGAGCAGTAATTTTTAGCCACTTGAAACTTGCACATTATTAAACTAATATTGGATGCGCTATAAAACTGTATACTCAAAAATATTCTAACACTGCTGAGAAAATAGTTTGTAATTTAAATGAAAATTTGTTGCATTTTTTTTAGTTTTCTACATAGTTTTAAGCTTGGGTTTATATGAGATTTGTTGGAGAATGAACTGTATTTTAATTGAAAATACCTAAAAATAAATAAAGCGGTCGGCGGTAAGTGAACAGCGACCGAGTAAACACAATTGCGGCGGACGACGGCTTCCGTCAGCTGTAATTTTGGTTTGGAAATTATTTTTAAAGTGAAATTTATTTTTTGTACGCGCGAATATGTGGATTTGCTGGAAATAAAAAAGGATGCAAACATTTGCAAGCTTGTGAAAATAATATAAATTATTACAATCAACAATGTGCAGCCTCGCTGGAAAGTAAAAACATAAACAAATTTAAATCAACCTAAAAACGTCAGCGGTAAAAACGCTGCCGCCGCAATTATGTGCCAGTCCATATGTCTTTGCGTGTTTTAATCTTGACAGCGCTTAACCGACAACCGCTTTACTGTCGTCCGCTGATTTTCTGGGTACAGCTTGGTACAGCTGTACCGATTCGGATTTTAAAAAAGAATATTTTGCATATTTTTGTATATTCAAAAAACAGTAATATTAAAATATATGTACATACATAGTATGCTTTAGAATATGCACAGAGAAAGATAGAGTATTTTGTATATTATTCATAATGGACTATGGTTTTAGTTTAAATATACATACATACAGTTGTACAGCTGTACCAAGGATATTATCATATTATGTATTTGACGAATTTATCTCAGTGTGTGTATGTGAGCTTCTTGCAAAACGGCACTTTTATTTAAGTATTTACAACATTGACTCATAGAAACTTTCAAATTGTCTTATAACATTTTCTTTTCTCGAAATAATGTTGCATTTATTCTTAGCATCTTCACATATTATTTCGTGTTCTTTCTTTAAAATGTTGCACTCTGATAATGTTGCCATATAAGAAAGTTTTTCATTTTTTTCGAGAAAAGAAAACGCCATTAATTATTCTACAGGCCAACCAAACAAGTAACAATGCATGTAAGCATACATACATATAAGTATGTACAAACAACTAACTATTACCAGATGTCTGTTCCATAGGACATTATCATTTTCTGCCAATCACATTTTGTATGTTTTTTGCTTGAATATGTCAAGGAAGCGTCAAACCAAAACTATTGCTAATTTTGCATTTATGTATGTAAATACTTGTCGCGACTATGCTGCAACGTTGTCATAAATAAAAATCCAAAAACCAAAAAATAATTTAGATTTAATCATCGCGTTGCATTTCCTAAAGTTCTCATTATACTAACATACATACACAGGTATGCGTATAATGTTCACATCTACATACAATCCCTGCCAGAAAATAGAAGATACATTTATCGCTTATCGCCACGATGTCACTACTTGGTTATTTCGACAAGACATTTCGACAATTTGATATAGCTTACATACTAATTTTTATATGTACATACATATTCATAAACAAAATTCATACCAAGCCGCAAAAATTCTGTACCAAAATACCCATCTATGTATATATAGCCATCATCGATTCGCCACTTCTCGCTCGCTATGTTTGAGTTCCGGTCGCTTAACGAAAAATTTTGCATGTGAAAGCAACAACAAAGTTAGCTAGCACGGATAGACGATAGCGAGTTTGGTTGTACCTCATTGAGTTCGTTCTTTACGCCACTCGCTAACTGATGGCGAATCGATGACGGCTTATATTTATTATACCCAAACGTGTAGTGTAAAGAACTTGAAGTTAGTTGCCTATGCAAGCAAACGCATGAAAGTTGAAAAAATTCAACTCTGCGCATTCGAATTCACGTTCGATTTTTTTTTCGTTCTTCACATGGAGTTTATCCGATAAGAATATGTGTAACTGCCACTCAGCAGCCAAACGCATACATACATGTACGTATACCCATGCCTATGGAGTTCCAGCTTATGAATTCGAATAAATAGCGATATCGTCGGCGATGATTTTCACAGAAATGTATCGAATTACTGACTTCCGCGATATCAAAAGCTGGCAGCGATTTTCGTACATTTCATATACTTATACGTATGTATTTGCATGTAAATATGTATACAAATCGAATATAATCGAAAACTCAGTTGTCATAAATGACTGGCTTGCAGCTAAGGAGCCATTTGTATATACATACTTTCATATAAAAAGAGGTTGATGGTATTCATCTAAACCGATAACTTTATCAAGCATATATTTTTATAAATTTAAGCACTCTGTTACATGAACGCCCCCTAACTCTCCTTTCGTTTACACTTGCGAACAAGAGTCGTGTTTTCTTTGGTTATCGAGCTCAGTACCAGTAAATTTATACGACTAACACGAGGATTAAGAAATTTTAGAAATGACGCTAACTAAATGGGAACAAATTATATTTGGACGAGATAATATTAATTTAAATAAATATTTAACATAAAGGCGATTTATTTGGAGCAATTTAAAAGAAACAATAGCAGAATGGTTGTTTGTGTATGAATTCATTTGTCACTGCTACCAAACTGTGCTGCCAAATTATCAGTGAGACAAAACAAACAGAACGGATAATGAATTAAACCAGATCTGTATCAGGATCATATCGTTGTTGTTGAATTTGCGAGCAAAATTTTTATGCGGATCCCGATTATTGCCCAAGAAGACACAGCTAGAGTCGCGACAGAGTTGCATTGGCTTCAGTTTATTCAGTGAAATCGCTGGATAAATTTATCAGAAATGTGTAGACGAGTTTTCATTCAAATTTTGACGGTTAATTTATAAGGTTTACACAATATATAAGGTTTGATGAACACCCTTATTGGCATCTGTTCAGTCATTTGCATTATTAATTATTAATTGTATGTGTTATTAATTTAACTAATTTTTATTAATATTCTACAATATAAGCCTTCTACCAACTACATGACTTCTTTGACTCGTCCATTTTACCTACTACGGTAATGCTGTCAGCAATATTAACATTTTAAATAAATCACTTGCAATTTACGTTTTTCCAATGAAACGGTGTCTTCACAATCACTGGTATTTTTTTAATGCCAAACTTCGATTTTGAAAGCGGCTGCAACTTACAACTGATACTTTACACGTTGACTTCTTTATGCGGCCGTTTTAAAGTAGTTATTTTTATTGTTTCATTAGTATGCATTTGTTATATATTTACATTAAATAGAAATGTTTTTGATAAAAGCGGTCGCATAAAGAAAGGTGCAGACCCTAACAAGTAATTTCTATGTAGTTTAGATTTGATTTATGTAGTTTTGTCCATTGGTTATGGATTATTTGCATGCTTTTTAAAATAAAATTTATTGATACCTTGTTGTCAAAACGTATACATATTTATTTAAATTTCGCTACGAATATTGCTTACTCGGCATGATTTTTTAATTTCTTTGATGCTTCAATATACGAGGAATACTTTAAATATAATCAAAGTTTATTAAAAACACTCACAAATAATTTTTTCACATTTACAGTTTTTTTCTGCACATACATATGCAGTTCAATTGCCTGCAGAAGTTTGCTTTTTGCTTAAGGGCCTGTTTTAATTTGATCATCACAACATAGGATAGAATTCTTTTCATATACGCTTTGAGTTGTCTCATAAATAATTACTACACATATTTTTATGGAATTATTCGATAGTCATAATCGTTAGCTTTTCTATTAACTAATGTAGTTGTGGCCAAACAATAATTACTCAAATGTTGTAAATAGGGACTAAGATTATGTCTAGTTTGAAAAAGGTCCATTCATATGAACCGAGTCCTTGGGCCTCATACATAAAATGTGACTAAATTTTTGCAACGAAGAAGTGAGCTCCAGCTCAAGTATCTGTACTGAAATCCGAGTCGGAGCTTAAGCTCTCTTTTGATGCACAAGGCCCAGTATTTTCATGTGCTTATGATCATACCAACTGGAATTTTTGACTAAAACTGCTAAATTAGGATTCCCTAATCATCTGACAATAGTAAAAAAAAATAATAATAATAATAATACTACGTAATACATAATCACCTCTTTGGTAGAAATTTTTATACATAAATATGTATGTACATACCAAGACCGATAGAATATTCGTTTCACCAAGTGTACATACATATAATAAACTGTATTATTTATACAAGTTCTTAATAATCTGACAAAAGTAATAGGTAAAAATTCTTAAACAACAAAAGTAGGACACAAAACCACATTTTAATCAGAAGTATTAATATACATAGTATATCATAATTGGAAAATAGACTTACCATCATTGAAAAGCAAACGTGGACAAGCTTAAGATATACATACATGTATGTATACTATATATGTATGTAAATATATAAGCACATAGATAAATTGAATAGCTTCTTATTGGCCACATTTTTGTTTTAATCGTACCACTACATAAATCGTAGACTAAACATTTACGTAAATACATACGGTTTGTAGTTGCACATTTGCAAATACATAAATTTTTATTGAAGTATTTAATTCGAAGCTTGAGCTAAGTAATAATTTAGTTATTATTTCACGTTTAAGTCGCAATAAGCGCACAGGAGTAAAATAAAAAATAAATTGATAACGAATAGCGAAAGGAGCAGTGCCAATAAATAAAACTTAAAATCGACGAAGTCAAAGCTGGTCAAAATAAACTAATTTGAAACTTTATGGTTCAGTCTCCGTTTACTATTTTCCAACAGAAGACGATGACGAGGATGGTCCTACGTTTAAGGATAAGGCTCTTGAGGCCATACTTAGAGGGATTGACATTTTTTGTGTGTGGGATTGTTGCTGGGTATGGTTGAAATTTCAAGAATGGGTGTCACTAATTGTTTTTGATCCGTTCGTTGAGCTTTTTATTACGTTGTGTATTGTTGTGAACACAATGTTTATGGCAATGGACCACCACGATATGAACAAGGAAATGGAGAAAATATTAAAAAGCGGCAATTATGTAAGTTTTTTTTTTTTATATGTAATTTATCATTTAATTTAAATTTAAATATTTCAGTTCTTCACTGCGACTTTTGCCATCGAAGCCACAATGAAACTGATGGCCATGAGTCCGAAATATTACTTTCAGGAGGGCTGGAATATATTCGATTTCATTATTGTTGCACTTTCACTTCTTGAACTAGGTCTGGAAGGAGTTCAAGGCCTTTCCGTTTTGAGATCATTTCGATTGGTGAGTCTGCGCATTGATAAATATATCATCCGTTTAGCCAATAAAATACTTTATTGAGATTACTTCGGAATTGATACCTACTAAGTATGTACCTAGATATTGCATTTTTATCTTAGTGTTTGACACTGTGAAATCTTCTATGAGTCTGAAAGAAACAAAGCAATAACGAGTTTTTAATTATCATATATATCCACATCATAATGTGCTCCCTAATTTGCAGTTGCGCGTTTTTAAATTAGCTAAATCGTGGCCAACGTTAAACTTGCTTATATCCATCATGGGCCGTACGGTTGGTGCCCTAGGCAACTTAACGTTCGTATTATGTATCATTATCTTCATATTCGCCGTAATGGGAATGCAATTATTTGGCAAAAACTATACAGGTATTAGGAGCGCGAATAATTTATCAGAAATTTTCTGAAAAAGTGAAAGCAACCGCAATAGTTTGAATTTTTAATTGCAGTTTTTATATTACAAATATTGCATTTAAAACACCTTTCTGCTACTTTTCTTTCATTATTTATGCATATGTACATACTCGTATTTACATTGTGTACATCAAATAAATATTTCTCAATCCACTTTTTACTTAATACAAAGTTAAAAGCAAATACGAAATAATCCATGAATTTAAGAATGTCCTCAGAAATAATGTATGAGCCAGATTTTAACATTTAAGCATTAAGCACGTTTTTTTATTTGAGCTTAAATAAAAGATTTTTAATTTCAAACAAATTAATTGAAACAATGATGGCTGCAAAAGCCCTTAAATATGTACATACTATATATCACGCCCCAAGCAAGCAAAGCTATACAAAGCCAAAGTAAAAATACCGAAAGCTATTTAAAACTTATATGTTTACATATAAGTACATACATTATATCAAGTATTTGCATAATTTAAAACTAATTTATTTAAACACTTGCTAATTTTAATAGATATCAGTAACTTAAGCATTTCTTAACTCTTTTCTTGACTATAATTCTGTAATATTTTTTCCTAATGCTTTGCCCGGCTTACTAACAAATTTCATGATAACCATTACCATGAAACCGCTGTGGAACATTTTGCCCCAACAATCAACAATAATTTACCAAATTGGATCATTCACAAACAATGTATAACAAAATTCGATTGTTTTTATTTAAAAAAAAAAAAAACCTCGTACAAAAAACTCCCGACCGGTACTAAACTGTATTGAATTTAATTGGATTTAATATTTTCGCAATGACAGCTTCGAGTTTTTAAACTTGCTAAATCGTGGCCAACTCTAAATTTACTAATTTCCATTATGGGTCGCACCATGGGTGCATTGGGTAATCTAACATTTGTCCTTTGCATTATCATATTCATCTTTGCTGTAATGGGAATGCAACTTTTCGGGAAGAACTATACGGGTAAGTAGTTTTAAATGAAGCAACAATTGCGCGTTTTAATGTTGTTTATGTATGTGTTATAATTTTGCATCCAGTGACCTTATTTCATTTTTACATTTATAAATAGTAGGTATGTATGTATGTACATGTGTACATGCAGTTAAAAACTATACTTCGAGCGCCTACCCCTGTAAAACTGCATATCCGAACGTTTTCGTAAAATTCAGATACAAATTTGTTGAATTTTTCTTAATTTGGTATAAAGCTTACAGCTTTGATTTATATGTTTTTTGTTAATGCATGGACATTATTTTTATAAAAAACAAAAACAGCGAAAAAGTTTTAACTTGAAAAACAATGTGAATATATATGAAGAAATCGGCATGTGAACACTTGGTTGAGTCACTGTATGTACATATGTAGACATACGTACTAATAATATATACCTACATATATAGTATATATAGGCACAACGATGTACTTACACGTAAACATACAAATGTACTTATAATTGTTCTTACCTACTTACGTATGGACTTAAGTTTCTAATCTGTCGCGACTTCAAACCTTTAAAATATTATGCAAAATACTTATAGTAAAGTAGTTAATTTTTCAAATTTGTTTTCACCTCAAATACTTTGGTTAAAGTTACTAGAGTTAAACGCTGATATGCGTATAACCCTGAAACATGTAATATATATATGTACATTTATATTTACAAAATGGTTTTCTATGTATAAATCGTTTAA